TAAGCACACAGAGCTGAAAGGCGATCCTTCGTGGCTATCCCGGTCCTCTCCCAGCACCAGGGTTGTGGCTCATCCCCTTCACATCTTCTTTGAACCTCAGTTGGGAAGCTCCCCACCACACTGCCCCCACACCCCATGGCAGAGGGCAGCGTGCTTGCTGTGGCCACAGGCTGCATAAAGGGGCCTGTGTGCCGGCCACTCACCTCCCACTGTGTGCCCAGTGGTTTTCTATTTCAGTTGCTGTAAAAATATCACCTTTGATCTCAGCTTGTGGCTCTCAAAAAAAAAAAAAAAGAAGAAGAAGGAGAAACCACCAACAGGCTGGATTTTCATTCTCCCCTGACCCCGCCTTGCTCTCACCTCAGCTTCCAGCTCTCTCCCCTCCTCCCATTCCCCCCCACTCACCTTCTCCTCTCTGCATGTCAGCACCCTGGACCTGGGGCACCTTGGGAACCTGTGGGCCCTCCTCTTTCTGTGTGACGCCCCACACCCCTGCACGAGGCTGCCTGTAGGAAGAACAGTATAAATGAGGGTGTGTGTGGAGGAAGACCGCCCTCTCCCCTCCTCCCAGTCTCCCTGCCCCTTTCCCTCTGCTCCAAGTTCCCCTGCTTGGCGAGGTCTAGGCCTCTTCTCGAGAGCTGTCAAGCATGCGGTATCCATCACAGCCCTGCATCTGTAGAAGCTCAGGTCCTCCCAGAGTGGAAAGAGAAGAGCGAGAGGGCCTAAATATTTAGACCACACCATCTACTCAGGGAGCCCTCAGCAGCCCAGAGATCCCTGGAGGAGTGCCCTTCAGGCCTGATGATTCCGATATCCCACCTCCTGACTCAGCAGGCAGACAGACAACCCCCTCTCCTTGACCCCAACCCCCAAATCAACACACACACCCCTTTTCTTTCAGCAAACTCTGGGGAGAGGTACATGCAGGCCGCCCCCCTGGGGGGTCCCGCATGCGCTGGCCTCTGCACCCTGACATTATATATATATATATATATATTTTTTTTTTTTAATTTTTTATTTATTTATTTATTTTTTAAAGACAGGGTCTCACTCTGTCACCCAGGCTGGCTGGAGTGCAGTGTCCTGATCTCCACCTCCCAGGTTCAAGTGATTCTCATCTCTCAGCCTCCTGAGTAGCTGGGATTACAGGTGTGCCATCACACCTGGCTAATTTTGTAGTTTTAGTAGAGGTGGGATTTTGCCATGTTGGTCATGCTGGTCTCAAACTCCTGACCTCAAGTGATCTGCCCACCTTGGTCTCCTAAAGTGCTGGGATTACAGGTGTGAGCCACCCCGTGCCCTGCCTCCCTGACATTCTTGAGCCTACTCGCTCTGTACAGGCCTCTGAGCCATAGCCCTTCTGGTTGGAAAGTCACCTTCTCACCTACTAGAGCCCTTCCTGTCCTGCCACCCCACTGTCTAGTGAGGTCATCTCCAAGGGTCCTGGCTCTGGCAGAGGGACCAGAGAATCCCACCACCTCCCTAAGAAGTTTCTTGGCTGACAAGCATTTTGTGCCAATGGAGGGGGCAGGCAAGCCTTGAATCTCTGACTCACACCAGGCTTTGAGCCATTATGGTGTCTTTTTTTGAGTTCGATTTTTACAGAAAGACAAAATATCACTCATTCAACAAACGCTTTACGGGTCATCTGCACTGGGCCCTGTGCTGACATGGTCGCTACTCAGGGAACCTCCCTCACACTCCTGTGGGTAGAGATGCAGATGTGTGCGGGGTCAGGCATCCAGGCCACAGGGAGTCAGGGTCTGGGGGCACTTGGAGGAGTGTCTGCCTGGAGGAGGAGGTGGGGGTGCAGAAACTGCAAGGCCTGGAATGTGCAGGAAGCTGGGGCATCCCCAGCTGGAAGGAGCCACTTCCAATGGAGGCATGGCTGGGGTGTTTGTGGAGTGAGGAGGGGTCAGGCCTCAGAGAGCCCCGGCGGCAGGCAAAGAGCTCAGCCATTGCTCCCGGGGCCTGCGGAGCCGCTGCAGGGTTTAAAGACTGTGGGCGTGGGACTGTCCGTGGGTAAGGCCTGTCTGGGGGCACGGAGGGCCCGGGCGGAGGATATAAGGCTCTGGGTGTGCGTCCAGGCCGCAGCCTCGTTTAGCAGCAACCACAGTCCGCCAGGACCCAGACTAAGTTCCCTGCAGCCCAGCCCACAGCCCAGGGCTAGGCAGAGGGTGCAGTCAGTGTGGCCACCACTGGGCAGGGGGCTCAGGAGGCAGGCTTGGCTCATCAGTGTCCCCAGAGCCCAGCCTGGGGCGGGGCGGGGGGGAGGGCAAGCAGGCGCCAGTGGAAGCCCGTTGTAGAGTGAAAGAAGCTTTACAAACGCTTCCAGCAGACTGACTGCAGGGATTCCTTCCCGCCCGCACATCCTCAGACCTGGGAAAAGGGAAACGGGAGGCTCCAGCCAGCTCCTGAAGGCACAGGACACAGCTGAAAGGAGCTTGGAAAAGGGCCACTGGGCGAAAGTCCCTCCAGGGCTTCGCAGTCTCAGTTTCCTCATCTTGAAATCAGGGTGTGTGTGGGGTGGGGTGGGCGTGGGGAGGGGGAGGGGGAGAGAGAGAGAGAGAGAGAGAGAGAGAGGCAGCAACGGAAATTGTCTGGACTGATCTACAGGGCGGGATGCGCACCGCTGGTAGCCTTGTGATGGGGGCCAGCACAGCCATTACCTTTGGCTCTCCTACGGCGGACAGGGGCCGGTGGTGGGGACCTCCCCATTCTCTCTGACAAGAAGGCAGAGGCGGACCTTGTGATCCCCTTTTCACCGGGGGGGGGGGGCATGTGGAACACATTGTTTGCGTGTCCCAAGGACACAGTCACAAGGTGGCAGGGCTCCATGGAACCCGTTTCTCGGAGTGGGTCTGGCACCCCTGTTCCCCACAGAGGCTTTTCAGGGAGCCTAGAACCTGTGGACCGTGGACGCAGAGGCGAAGTGCAGAAAACCGTACCAGGCCCCTCACGTGCTGGGAGACCCATTCGGTGAACCAGAGCCGGTGGGTTCTTCCAGGTATTCGGTAGTTAAACCAAGAGACTGCACATCTGACCCAGCCCTGACCGAAATGTCAGGCCAGAGCCTCGCAATGTCAGTCATCCTCCCACTCTACATCCAGGAGCTCCAAGACCCAGGCTGCAATCATGATGACGATGATGATGATGATGATGTGATGTTTGGAACACGGGCGTGTTAGGGAGCTCCACACACGAGTCAGGGAGAATTCTCCTGCCTAGGATCCCAGCCCGCCGCCCCCAGCGCCCGGCCTGTAGCTCTCCAGAGTCCCAGCCCCAGCTCCCAGGTCCAGTGTAAACTCGTGGTCCCTGCGTCTGCAGAAAGGCACGTTTCCCTGCTGCAGGGCGGACTGGTTGCACTCTCCCGGCGTCCAGATCCAAGGCTCGCGGGCGACAGAGAGAGTCTTGGGGTCCCACTGTGCGGATACCGGATCGGTTACCGGAGGCGAATCCTAAGTGCACACGCCATTGCGGGTCCTGTGCGGCCCGGGCGGAAATGCTCAGGCTCCAGGGCGCCTCCCATTCTACTTACAAAGCGAAAGGAAGCTCTAATCGAGTAGTGGCTCGTTGGTCTAGGGGTATGATTCTCGCTTAGGGTGCGAGAGGTCCCGGGTTCAAATCCCGGACGAGCCCTGGTTTTCTTTTCCTTTCCTTTCCCCGGATCTCCATTCTTTAAATACAGCACTTTTCGAGCTGGAAGAATTCTTTAGATAGCAGCCAGTGGGCAAAACCACTCGCTCGTTTTCAATCGGCGATCCAACCTCTTCTAATTGTGCCAGGTCCCATTCCGCGCTCATTAGGACTGTAGAAGGACAAACTACGGGTGCCAAGCAGTAAAAAAAAAAAAATCAAGAAAAGAGGGGCTCGTCCGGGATTTGAACCCGGGACCTCTCGGACCCAAACCGAGAATCATACCCCTAGACCAACGAGCCAGCTGCTCTGTGCCTTCTCCTTCAACTTACTAGAGGCGAAGGCAGCGGCAAGAGCGTGGCCCAGCGCGTGCGCGAAATAGTCGGGTGGGGAGTGGTTTATATGCATAGAAATCCACGCGTTTCCCTTGAACACGCAGGGATTCAGTCCTGCTAGTGTCCCCCGACTTTGCTATTAAGAACGTACCGAGCCCCATTCTACCCGGACACCCTTTCCTCCTGCTCCCCAACGCCTGTCGCGGCGAACCCTCCACCACTGGTGCGACCCGCCTCCCGCCTTGGAATCCCTGGTCCCCCGCCTCCAGCAGGCTCGGCGCTCCGGGCAGGCGCGGCCTCAGGCTCGGCGTACAGCAAGTGCTTAGTCACAGTGCATCGACCCCAAAAGTGATATGTCAGTCCAGGGCCGGAGCGGAGGGTGCGCAGACCACGGACGAGGGCGACGCAGCAGGGACTGTGGGAGCGAGGTGAGGGCAGCCTCAACCCTGCAGGGGCAGCGACTAAGGACAGAGCCTTTTTGCAGCTCCCCCAAAATGGAGACCTCGTGGCCTCGCAGCTGAGGGAACATGGGACCTGGAGCACCGGATGCAAAGGTAGCAGAACGAGCGCGCGCGAGGCCTGGCGTGGACTGCAAGCACTGTGCCCGGCTCTGCGGATTGTTCTTAGTTTTTGCATTAACTAACATTGCCCCCAGACACTCACCTACAGATTATCTTTCTTCCTTCCTCTCCGCTCGGGGTCAGCTCAACCTTCTGGAGTCCTCTGTTCTCCCAGCTCCAGCCACGCAGACTGGAAGCTCTGCGAGGGCAGGAGCTGAGTTGGCCTTCTCGCTCTGCTCAGGGTATGGAGCGGCGCTTGTCCTCCAAGAATAGATACTAATAATCAGCAATGATTTCACAAGCTATCTTTTACTGAACTCTCTCAATAACCTCTCAAGGAAGAAATACCCCCATTAACTGGTAAGCAAAAGGGTCAGAGAGGTTAAGTGTGTTACTCAATGTCACACAGCTTCAAATGGCAAAACTGGGATGCAATTCACGTGTCAGGTGTCAGTGATCTCTCACTGTCTGCCTTGCTTTCCCCCATATATATTTTCAGCAACCTATTTACATCATATTTACATTCACATTTGTTTTCCAGGAAATATCTGAAATTGTGTGGAAACAATTTATAAAGAAAAAGGCAGTTCTCAACATTCATGTGTTCCTGAGTCACTAACCCCCAAATAACTTCTGGCTCTGCTGCTTTTCACTGCTTCTGAAAATGACATTACTTCAGCCTGTCTCAGCAAGGCCTCCATTTTATGTACATTCCTGTCTGAACACTTGAGAAGGGCTCCCAGAGTGGGCCAACAGCTTTGCGGGTTCTGAAGTGCTTTTTAGTTGCACGTGAGGAGGAATGAATGAAGGGAGGTAAAAATATCTTTAGTTATTAAGCGTCTTACCATTTGCCAAGCACGGCGTAAGGCATTTAACATATTTTCTTACTGAATCTCTCAACATCCAGGTCGAGGGTGTTTTATAGTTATCCCATTTCACAGATAAGGAAGCTTGAGGCCACAGAAGTGGAGTGATTTGCCCAAGCGCACGTATCCAGTAATTGTTGGAATTGGGGTTATTCGTTTATTCAACTGACTCTGGTGCCAGAGCCCATGCCAGGGGCTGAAGAATCCAGGTGAAGAGTACCCAGCCTCTACTCTCTGGGATTTTATCAGTAACTGGATCTGCCTGCTCTCACCTGGAGCTCTTTCCACCACAGCACACACAGCCTTTGAAAAACTGCTTTCCCAGTCGGGTGCAGTTCCCACTTGCCCTCCTAGGTATTGCTCTCCTTCGCATGCACTTGTTCCTTGTACACCCCAGACAGGGAGCCCTTTGGGTCAATTCCTCTCTGAGTCCTCTATGCCAAGCTAAGTGTTTAGGGAAAGTCTACTGATTGGTCAGTAATTACAAAGAGAGAGAGAGAGAGAGAGAGAGAGAGAGAGAGAGAGAGAGAAAGGAACTGGGAAAGGTGCAGCCTGTTACTGTGTGTGTCTTTGGGCAAATCACTGCCTCTCTCTGAACCTCTGTTCCCTCTTGGTAAAATGGGACTCATAATCCCTGTCTCCCTCACAGCCTTGCTGGGGAGATGGGGCCATCCTTTACAGAGTGGTCCACTGTGTGTCTTTGAATTCACTGTGTGTCTCTAGGCAAGATATGGCCTTCGCTGGGATCTCTTCACCTCTGATGACCAGATGACCCTGAGGTTCCTCCTGGCTCGGCCCCACCTCCAGGTGCTGCCCTGGCTCCAGCAAATGAAAGGCTGGTGTGTTGAGGGCCTGGATCTTCCCGGTGTCTCGGCCCACAGAGGCCCCAGCAGGCCCACGCTAGGGTCTTTCCTGGAAGTCTCAGGGCTCCAGACTTCCTGGAGCCAGGGAGGGAGGGGCTGGGGCTGGGTCAGACCTGGAGCCCCACAGAAGCTGCTGCTGCTGTCCTACCAACCCACACAGTAGTGGGGAGGCCACAGGGCATCCTGTGAAGTAGGGCAAACCTCGGGCAGGGGTTCTCAAACACACAGGCTCCAGCAGAGGGGCTGAGGACAGTGCAGGATTGCCTCAGGCCCAGCTACACCCCAGATGTGCCTCTGGGTGAACCCGGCTTTCTCCTCTGTAGGCTAGGTGCCATCGGGAAGTCATGACAACTGTCAGTCACTCCCCCTGACGACTGCCCACCATCTTTCGCCCAGATTATGCCAGTGGCCACCTCACTGGCATCCCAACTGTTTTGTTGTTTTTTTTTTTTGAGATGGAGTCTCGCTCTGTCTTGCAGGCTGAAGTGCAATCTTGGCTCACTGCAACCTCCACCTCCTGGTTTCAAGCAATTCTCCTGCCTCAGCTCCCCAAGCGGCTGGGATTACAGGCACACGCCACAACGCCCAGCTAATTTTTGTATTTTTAGTAGAGATGGGGTTTCACCATGTTGGCCAAGCTGGTCTTGAACTCCTGACCTCAGGTGATCGGCCCTCCTTGGCCTCCCAAAGTGCTGGGATTACAGGCGTGAGCTGCTGCGCCTGGCCCGCATCCCAACTTTCAAATGAAGCCTTTGAGTGTGTATGGCCAAGTTGTGCAATGTCTTCCACCTGAGATGAAGCAGCCTGAGGCCCGCCCTGACGGCTGCGAGGCTGGGAGCAGGCTGGGATAACACCATCACTGTCAGGAAGGGATCCATTTAGCTCCTGCCCACTATGCTCGGGGCCCTGGCACCAAGAGGATCCTGTTTCTTCACCACCCCTTCCTGACCCTCCCCGCTGCCCCCTACCTTCTTCCCTCTCTGCTGGGCAGTGGGGGATAGGTACTACCACCCTCAGTGACAGAGGCCAGCTCCCATGGCCATGGCCTTATGGAGCCACCACCCTAGCCCAGGCTGGCATCCTCCCCCAACCCCCACTCTAAGAGTCCCCTCAGGGCAGAGTGTCAGGGATCAAGCCCCCCAATCTGGGCACTTGCCAGGCTGTGCACAGAACTACAAGTCAATGATTAACTTCAGGACGCAGCCCAGGAAATGGAAAGCCACTCAAACTGCAGTCCCAGCGGTAGATGTCTCCTGCCCTGGGTCTCCCTGGAGCCACGGGGCTCCCCCACCCCAGTCACAAACACACAAGCTTATTCGTTCCTGGGTTTGGGTGACCTCAGTCAGGGCTTTGACACTGGCCAAATTTAAGCTGGGCTGGAAGACTGGAGTTGGCTTCCCAGCCCCTCCATCATCCTGAGTGACCTTGAACAAGTCACTCGGGCTCTTGGAACCTGTTTCCTCGTCTGTAAAATGAGTATAAAGGTAGCTGTACAAAGGGAGGTGATGAGCGGGGAAGGGAGGAAGTGGAGGTGAAAGTATCTGCGAGCCTTCCGCTAACCCTGAGCACCCTCATCCATGTGGTGCGGGCACAGGCTTGCTGTCTGTCTGGTCTGGGGAGGTCATCCTTCCCTCTCCTCCACTCCTGAGGGGCAGATGCCACGGGAGGCACGCGTGTTCCAGCACGGTCCTCACTCCACCACCTGCTGGCCTGCGGCTGCCCTCCCAGAACTGTTGGGTTGTTGGCCACTGGGAAACATTGAACACTCATGCTTGGAAGCTGATAGCAGCTGCCTCTGTTAAAATGAAAATCTGTTCTAGACTTCTCGTGAGAGTGCAGTTGAGCTGGTGTCTTCATTTCTCAAGGGTTGGGATGGACAAATTGAATGATCTCAAACTATTTTTTTTTTTTTAAGCTGTGGAATCTTTACACGAATTGATTGAATGCAGCTGCTCTGGTGGAAAAGGGAGAGAGGCATTTGCTGAACCAGCTGGCATCGGTGGTGGGCCTAGCAAGGCTTCAAGATGTGGTGGCACCTGAGCAGCCCTTCACGATGGCTGGGATTTGGCCAGGGGAGACGTAGAAGGGACACTCCAGGTGGAGGGACATACTTGGCCAAAAGCATGGGGTGAGAGGGCAGGTCTGTGGGGAGGGGCTCGGAGAGCCTGTGTGGAGGGAGATGGGGCTGGGGAGGAGGCTGGGCTGGAGTCAGGCTTAGTGGGTCCAATAGGGGTCTCCACCATCCAGGCATGTCCTGTCTAATGGAGGAGGCAGCTCTGCATACACACAGGATACGCAGGGGTCTAAACAGTCTGAGGTGAAGCACAGGGAGCTGAGCCACATTTGGTCGGGGGAATCTGGACCAAATGGGGGTCAGGGAAGGCTTCCTGGGGAATCTGTGTGTGCCCGTGCTGCCTCCTAAAGTGGGCATCTGAACCGGAGGCTGTGCACACTCCCCAAAGGGAGGTTCTAAGCAGAGAAATGTGGTGTCTTGCCCTGCCCTTCCCATCCCAGCTGGGCCCCCACGTGCGGCCAGGCTCCCTCTACTCAGCTGCCTCCAGCCTTGCCCCTTCCAGTTCATTCTCAAAGCCCCTAGGATTGCCCCTCATAACCCCAGCTGATTCCAGGCCCCGCACTGCTCTGCCCTCCAGGCTCCCCACCACCCTCAAGGTCCAGTCCAGGCTTCCCATGGGAGGAAGGGAGACAGAGGCCTGCAGGATCTGAGCCCTGTAAGCCCAGCTTCCAAAAGGCAAAGAAAGGTGAGGCCAGGGGTATGGGGGCCTAGCTGCCTCTTCCGGATGGGGCAGGTGGAACTTCCTGAGATAAGGGCAGCCCACAATGGAGGGCTGTGTAGTGTGGCCTGTCTCCCGGCCACAGGAAATGAGTGGCCTCCGCACCATTAATCTGCCACAGCCCGAGGCGTCCTCTGGAAGGGCGACCCAGGTTGGGAGGAGTCGTTCCTGTGCACCCCACCACACACTCACAGCCAGAGGGACTGGCCCTGCCACTCCAGGCCTTCCTTCCAGGACCATACATGCAAGAGGAGGCGCGGGGGTGGGGGTGGGCGGAGGCAACCTGGGTGTGGGAAGCAGGGCCTGGGTGTGCCTCCTGAATGAGCCCCAGCCGCTGTGGAACCCAGGCAAGTGTGCCACCCTTTCTGGCCCCCTGACCTCTCGCAGCTCCCCAAGCTCCTTCCTTCTTGGCTGTTCTTGGAGCCTGAGACAGCACATGCCTGTCATTCTTGTCTTTCTGCTCCCTCATCACAAAGGCGCCTGGATACATGCTTTACCTAAATATGGGGGCTCTGATGGGACTTTAGGCAGCAAGCAAGGCTGCGGGGAGAGGTTTGGGGCTTTGTCAGCATCACTGCAGCTGCAGCTGAGGTCAGTGGGGAGAATGCGCAGCCCTGCACCATTCTGGGCCTCAGTTTCCCCTTCTGCACCAGGACAGGTGGGACTCAATGACCCTATGTGGGGTGGGCTGCTGTGGTCAGTGACAAGGGACATGACAGCATGGAATTCTCACAGGTCCCTGACTTCCACTTTAGCCTCAGACCAGCCGTGTGAATCCAGGCAGACCCTTCTTGCCTTGGGCCTTGGTCTTCCTGTCTGTAATATAGGGTCCCTGCCCAGCCAGCTCAGAGGACTTCTGTGACAGCAGGTGAAGATGGGGCCCTGTCTGCTCCACAGGGAGC